ACAAGAGAATAATTATGGAAGCCATTGAAATAGAGACACACACCCCTCCAACATGAATAAACGTGACGATGCCTCCCGCCTACCAGACATCTGGAAACCAGCCCTAGTAAACAAACGAACCCCACCCACCACCCAGGTCATTACAACACAAAAGTACAACGGACACACAGCCAGGACCTCAGCCACACAAAATGATACGAAACAGCCCACCAATCTAGAAACATCAACTCCATCTACCAATCAGGATGCAACCACACAGCCAATCAACCCATTTACAGCAAGAAAGCCAGCACTCAACACCCCCCCCATCAAGATTTATAGAAAGACAACAGTTCCGATAACGCCTTCCTCGCATAAGCATGAAGCCGAAAACACCACTCTGAAGATGGTGAGTGGGTCCTTGCTGAAATGTTGCCAAGTCAATCTCCATCTTACACGGGAAAAGAGCCAAATAAGGGGGCATACCTACACCCGTGAAAAACACACACACACACACACACACACACACACACACACACACACACACATTGTTCAGTACAATATGTCTTAGCTTTTTTTATCCCGTAGAAAACAAACATTTGATGACTGGTAAAAATAATTTAACAAAATTGAAAAGTTATACTACCATTTTGATGGAGACGCAGTCATGCTGGCGAGATGACCACGGAAGTGCCTTTGGACAACGCTGCTCCCTTAGCTAAGAAACAGAGAATGAGAACCTACCCCGCAAATTGGACACAACTGGATAGGAGAAACCTTTACTAGTATACCGTGTTTCCCTGAAAATAAAACAGGGTCTTATTTTCTTTTGACCCACAAAATATAGCTTGGGCCTTGTTTTCAGGGGAGGGCTTATTGTTTTGGGTTGCTAGGAGGCTGCTGTCTTGCGAGTAGGCTCTCGAAGAGCCGGGCACAGCCTCAGGGTCAAACGGATGTTTTGCACTGTTGCAGCAGCAACACAGCAGCCATGAGTTGACCACGCTCACGAGCAGCTGTCCGGCAACCCCTGTTTCCAGCTGGGCACAGCGCCATTCATTGACCTAGGGGTATCGCCAAGCGGTGGTAGAGCCTGTTTGCCGCCCTCCAGCTCCTGCGGCTCGGTACCTTCAGAATGCCCTTAGGTCAGTGAATGGGGCTCTGCATGACTGGAGAGGGGGGTTGCGTGAGTAGCTTTTCCACTCCCTGCTCGCACGACTCAAAGGCTCATGATGCCCTTGCCTAACTCTCCCTGCAGAGCTAGGGCATCTCCGCTGCTGCCACCGCCCACCGCATGGCTTTTTCTGTCGCTTCCAAAGCATGAAGGTAGGATGCCAAATCTTCCGGCAGTTGCCACTCTGGGAGTATGCTCTATGGTTGTGGGCTGGCTGCCAGCAGAGCATACTCCCAGAGCATACAACTATAGAGCGTACTCCCAGAGTGGCAACTGCCAGAAGACTCAGCAACAGCCCTCTCCAGCTGGGTACAGCAACGCTGACCGACTTAGCGGTATCCCAAGGGCACCAAGCAACAAGAGCACCTCTGCCCCCACCTCATTCCCATGGCTTGGCGCATTTAAGATACTGCTAGGTTGGCGAGTGGTGCTCTGCCTGGCTGGAGGGGGGGATTGTCCAGGGGCCTTATTTTCAGGGGGGGGCTTATATTTTTGCCCACCCAAAAATATGGCATGGTCTTAGTTTCAGGACATGTTGTATTTTCAGAGAAACACGGTAGGTCTTCTGCATGAGCAGGGGGTTGGACTAAATGACCTCCAAGGTCCCTTCCAACTCTGTTACTATTAACTAAATTGTTAACTAATCTTTCTGCATTACTTAAAATATCTAGGGCTAAATAAACACTTAAGTGAGAAAAAGCAAAGAAGCATTTCTCTTCTCCCATTCTCTGACAATTTTATTCTCTATCTTAAACATATGTTCAACATATTATTTGATTTAGCCTCTTCTTTGATCAATCAATAAAGCTCACCTGAATATGACACTCCAGAATATCCAACAATTGTTATACCCAGGCTCTGTCCATCTTTTTTAATCAACTTAACTTCATGAATTTCATTTTCCTGGGAAACAAAACCATACTGTTTTTTCAGATTATATTAACCATTTAAACTTGTGCTGAGAGGTTTTTGATTTGTTACCTAATTAAAAACTTTTTCAGTTCAAAGATCCAAAGACAACAGGGTGTGTGTTGTTTTCACGATGTCAGCGTTTCCGGTGTTCAAAAGTATTGTGTCTTCACAAATTACTTTATGAACATCTGAATATTATTGGGTTATCATCACTTTGGACTTTTAAAACATACAAAAAAAGACAAATCTATATTTTTTTAAAAAAAAATGCTAAATTTTAATATTAATAAATTTCATTTTCACTGTCTGGATTTATTTTTCTATCTGATTTTATCATGGTTGTGATATTTCCAAATGGTAAAACAGATTAAAAATTAAAATATATTAAAAAAGATAAATAGAATGAAAAATTAGATAGCAATTACAATATAAATGCCACAGTGGTCTACTGGTTAGACAGCAGTACTGCAGGCTAATTCACTGCTCTGTCTAGGAGTTTGAGTCCCACCGGTTCAAGTTTGACTTAGTTTCCATCCTTCCAAAGTTGGTAAAATGAGGACCCAGATTATTGGGGGCAATATGCTGATTCTGTAAACCGCTTAGAGAGAGCTATAAAACTCTGTGAAGCAGTATATAACTCTAAGTGCAATTACTATAAACTGATCAGATGAAAATGTTTTAATCATTCTTACCAGCAGAAAATGTTATTTGAGTTTTTTTTCTTTACACAGTCCTTTAGCAATGGGTATTTCAGGAGAACTTATTTGCAAATATATAAACTGACAAGTAAAGTGAGCTAGAAAACATAGCTGTCAAGTCTGTAAATCTGAGCTAAAATTTGATATTATATAAATTACTGATACTATGTGACCTTTTCAGAGAAAGACTTGGAATGCTTCAGCTAAATATGAGGCAGATAGTCAAGAAGATATTGAAAGTGAAAGTGTCTATGGAGTCCTATTGCCTTTCGAAAAGCAGCTTTGGCATTGAAAGTGTAAGTCGTTGATTTTGGCAATGTAGCAAAACTACAGTAGTATTGTTTGCCCTCCAATAGCAAAGTGTGTTAGTCAGTTTTCTGGTCTGTGACTGTGATTGATTAATTGTTAATCTCAATGATAATAACAATAATTAGGCCGATTAAGTATTAACGTCAATTTAAGAAGATTTTTTTCAGACCACATGAAATTTCCAGCGGTGTAATTTGATGCAAGCCTTAAGATACTTACTCTGTCAGATTCTCTGTCCTGAATAGTAGTTAATTCACCCACAGGATCAGCCACAGGAGTTGGTGGGGTTATAGATATTTCAGACAAAGGGGATCGTGCAACTACCATCTTAACATGGTTTCCGCAGTTTCTCAAGACTTGAGCAACCTGCTCGCTATTCATCCCTTGTACATTAATGCCCCCAATTTCCAAGATGTGATCATCAGTTCTAAGTCTGCCATCCTTCAAGAAACAAGGAACATTTTTCAAAAGTTAAAATGAACTGGAATGGAATACTTTTTATAAAACAAGACTTCAATATAAAATGCAATCATGTTAAAGCAACACTGCAGTGGATGTTACACTGAAAGAATTATGTCAAATATTAAAAATGTCATTAAAAGTTACTAAAAAACTACTAGTATGTTTAGCATAGGTTTTAGATTATAGACAAATTTGGTATTTTTCATATATTGTATATATTACTCACTTATGGCTTTCACTGTATGTGTCCTTTTTCCACTATAAGTCTAATTGTAACAGCATTATCAAATTGCAATTCTACACATTTTTAATCTTCCTCTTTCTACTTAAGAGCCAAGGCACATGTAAGAAGTCAATTAGAACGTAGATAGCATTGACATTTAATTGGTTATTTTTAACCTACTTTTAATCTACATTTATACATTCCTTCAATTAGGTTTGAATGATTAAAATTTATTTTCATCATTTTAAACAATTTGGGGCTCTTGCCAAATGTTTGCATTTGCATACTGTGTAAAATACCAGGTATAATAGAAACAATGATTAGTTAGCAAACAGGAGTGGGAGACTTTATTCCTGCTCCTTAAACTACAATGCTTCATCTCAGCAACATAGAGATAACAACAGAGACACTGAGAAGTTGGGACAATTCGATTATCATCGTTCTTTGCCACAACGAAATGGATAGCATTGTTGGGACTGTTTAGACATTAACATAGTAACAATTAGTGATAAAGAGGTGTGCACAACTCATTTCCCATCCTTCTCCAAAGATGAGAAATGCTTCTCCACTGCTGTTTAAGGCCAGGCCAACATCTTTTCCTACTGTAGTATCTGCGAAAAGACTCTCTTTCTCTCAAAGAGACTACAGATCCAAGTATTAACTGTTGTGGCCCAGCAGGAGCCGTTGGAGCTGCCACCAGACTCCGACAGCGAGGGGCCCTATGAGTCGGCCCTGGAGGATGTGGAGGATCCTGGACAGGGTTCCGACTCTGGGCAGGGCGCAGAGAGACTGGTTGGACACCAGGTGGCGCCTGATCCTTGGATCAGTGGGGAGGAGGCAAGGGAGAATGAT